TTTATTAATAACTATTATTTAAATATAAATTGATTTTGCAACGCGTTTTTTAATTTTGTAGAATTTTGTTATAATACTTTATTGTAAATCCCACATTATTTGTGGAGAACATCGCATACATTTGATCCTAAATAGCATAAAGTAGCTAGTACCAGATGAATTTAAGCCTCTCTGAAAGCTTCCATGATTAATTTCAATGTTTCATTTATATGGTATTCGCTACTTTTATAGCATTTGAATTAGAATATGTGGCATTTAAGATCTATAAATCTTAAAAATAAAATAATTGTTATTACATAGTTATCAGTTACTGTAATTTATAAACGTTAATAAAAAATTGCAAATTATGTAGATGTAAATATCTTCAGTTTGTTAAACGAAAACGTTATTAAAAGACCCTTAGGAACAAAAATTATGTTGGGGGGGGGGCAGTATTACCCAGAAATAGTTTTAGGGACCTTTTCTTTTTTTTTAGTCAATTTTTCAGTCAATTTCTTAAAAATTATTTGAAAAATTATTTGGCGGGGGTAAATGCCTTTTCTGCAAGACCTCCCCCCCTCCCCTAAGTTTAGACCTAAAATTGGAAATTGAATTAGTTTGATAAATTTGGAATTAACTCTTGTTGATTTCTTTAGGCGAAAATGTCAAAACGTCCATTTCAGTCTGCAGCCGTATTCATATCTCTCCGTTAAACTAACGGAGAATTTGAGTGACCAGTTAGAAAAAAACTCTAAAACGCCGGTTATAAAACGGAGGAAAGTAAATTGTATTCTAACCCTTCTGTTTAGACTCCGTTTATTAATTGCTCCAATAATTCTTTTAGTTGAAATTCCTCCGTTAGCCAGCTCCGTTAATTAGTTTTCGTTTTGTTTTTCTCGTTGCATCTAAACGTTGCGATACCAACAGACAATTGTTTTTTAAATAATGATTGCTGATAAACTCTCTAAATTTAATTTAAACACGCTATTATACGAAAAAATCAGAGTTTGTTTTTACTTAACACTTGTTTTCATTTTTTTAAACTTTATTTTTATGCTTCTTTACTCTTATGGATTAAACATTTTTTCATAACTTTATTTTCTTCGGTTTTTGCAAACGGATCAAAATATTGAAACCGAGTAATTATTTTGTGACTCATTTAAAGAAATCGCGATAATCTTCATCGCACCAAAGTGGATGTTTTATTCTCCTAGTGTTTAAACTATATATTAACATAGTTATAAGAAAGATATAGTTTAAAAGTGAACAAAAACGCATTAATGCGCCTTTGTTTTAACTTTTTCAAACTGTTTTTCCTCGTTTCCGGACTTCCGAACCTGCACAGATTGTTGTTGTTAGCGTTTGCCTGTTATTTTACCAAGTTGTTTTGTATTTTTATTGAAATTGCTTTTTCTTGATATATCTGATGAAAATTGTACAATATGCAGTTGTTCAGCTTCAAGAAAACAAAATCGGACGCAATATTTTTTTTTTTAACCAGAAAGCTGGTAAAAAAAATAAATATTGCGTTTTGTTTTCTTAAAGCTGGATCCACAGAGCTTTGTTTATAATGCCATCAGAATCATCTTATCTAACTATTACAAGAAGTATAATGAAGTTTGCCTTTTATGGTGGATATGTTTTTTCACTAAAATGATAAATTGTAGAAAGTATCTATAGATCAACTAGAAGGAAGATTTAATGAGAGCTTAAAGTTAACAATGTTTACTTCTTTACAAATTTACAAAATTTTTCAAATTAATTTAAAGAAGTTGTTTAAATTTTACTTCAAAATAATGTTCAATTTGTTATTGCTGAAAGATTTGCAGAAAAAATATTGTATTGCAGATTTTTACTACAATATCAATGCAATCAAGCTACAGTTTTTTTGATTTACTAGTAATGTTAAATGTAATGCAATCAAGCTACAGTTTTCAGTTTTTCGAATTACTAGTAATGTTAAATGTCAAAATAAAAATAAAATTCGTTAATTTGCATTAAACACCAACATTAAGCCATAAAATTTCTAAATTTGCTTATAAGTAAATAAACAAAAGAAAAATAGTTATTTTTATAACTACAAAATTTTAAAAACATTACTTGTCATTTATTTACATAATTTATATTTGTTTTATTTTTCTAATTTATATTTGATATTTACATAAAAATCAGTGCTTTTTTTTTTTTTTTTTTTTTAAATACCCCCATTTATTTTTTTTTTGTCAATAAAATGTTTTCAAATATATATGTCAGATTTCAAGAATTGTGTTATAAGGTTCTCACTGCTTCACAACAATAACAATAGGAAGTATTGTTACTTAGGAATTATCAGAGAAGTAAATAGGCGCCATGTTTTACTATTAGCTTATAAGCACTGGTCCATTATGGATACTTTATATTCTGATAAATGCATTTTTACATGGATTAAATAGAAATATAGATCATGAAGCGAGTCTATTTGAAAAAATTACAGTAACTGATAACTATGTAATAACAATTATTTTATTTTTTAGATTTATAGATCTTAAATGCCACATATTCTAATTCAAATGCTATAAAAGTAGCGAATACCATATAAATGAAACATTGAAATTAATCATGGAAGCTTTCAGAGAGGCTTAAATTTATCTGGTATTAGCTACTTTATGCTATTTAGGATCAAATGTATGCGATGTTCGCCACAAATAATGTGGGATTTACAATAAAGTATTATAACAAAATTCTACAAAATTAAAAAACGTGTTGCAAAATCAATTTATATTTAAATAATAGTTATTAATAAATAATTTAAAAATAAATGTGTAAAATATTATTTGTTCTTTTGTGATTTGCATGCCTTTTGTCGATTCAATTAATAAAGTAAATCGCCTTGGCTCGCTCAATGCTAAGGTTTTTACCATATTAAGAAAAACTACTTTCTTCAAGCATTTCCTAAAAAATATATATATATTCATCAACAAATATAACTATAAATAAATTTTAATAAAAACAAATATCAATAATAACCTAAATCAACCTAAATTATATGGTTATTATAGATTAAAATAATAAGAAGAACAATCATAATTAAAAGCCTTATTAGTTAAGAGCAGTTTTAATTAAGAGCCAAATTGAAGTCATAAATGACTTCAACTTGGACTTTATTTCACACATAATTAGTTCTTAATTTATGCGATAAAATGCAACTTTCTTTTTGTAAAAACATTCATTTGATTTTTCAAAGAATTCATACAACTATAAAATCCCTTCGGTAATTTTGATGAAAAACAATTTTTATTTTGTCATAAAACTGTCGCTTAATTTAAACTTTTTTCAATGCTCATAGAATTCTATCAAAGTTCATAGAATTTATATAACTGGCCCCTTTGTGAATTGGCAATGAAAAATAACTTTCTTTTTGAAAACAATCTTTAGAAAATCATTTAAAACTCTAAAAACTCTTGTGCAACTGAGAGGAAGAATTATTAATTTTCGATTTTCTTAGGGATGCCATATCAATAATAAAACCTACGAGAACGAAAATTTTTCACTTCTAATGGTTTTGTAAATCACTGACAAGAAAAAAAAAGATTATCAACCGAAACATTGAATGTTTGTTTTCTGAAATTTATTTTTGAAACAGAAAAATAATTCAACATTTACATTTATTAATTAAAAATAAATAAAGTCTTGATATTCATTTTCATTTTTTAAACTATGTATTTAGTTTTTCATACTTTTAAATAAAATCTAGTTCGTAAGTTTTTTATAATGCTTTTTTCAATTTTTAATCTTTTTCAATTTTGTAACGTGTTTTGAATAGAGATTTAATTTCAATGAGTTTTTCATTTTTAATGTCTTGCTTTAAATGTTTTTCATGTTTATATATATACATTTTATACCTATTATTCAACATTTTTTCGCAAGTATGTCGTGATTCTCTTTTCTCAAGAATTTTAGAGAAAAGAAAACAATTTTTTTATTCTTGAGAAATAAAAATCATCGGAAATGTTAAACACAAGTTGAAAGCGATTTCTTCATCAGAAAACTTTTCTGCTTGCTTTGAGTCACCAATACCAGTAAGATTTAAAAATTCAGTTGCAATAAGAATTTCCACGGTTTCGTTTGAGAAAGGTTTAGTGTTTTATATTGTTAGTTTCCAGTAAAACAGGATCCAACCTAAGTAGCAATCTATTAAACACGTCAAGGTTGTAAGACTCTCTAGAGAACTTTCTTGCGTTGATTTAACGGTAGATACAAAAATAATGATTTCGTGCGTCAGCTTCTTCTTCAGATAGCTGAATAATAGGAAGCAAAGCATTCTTTATTACAATAAAACCTTGAATTAGAATTTTATGCATTGTAGGGGTTTCGAGATACCATGGATAGAACTGGACATATAATTCCGCAACTTTTACAGTAAATTTTTTAAATTTTTTTGTCAAACAATAAGTTAAATTATAATCTTAACAGAGAATTCCAGATGCCAAGGGTCTGCCAAAAATTGCAGGCTAGTTTTTCAATCATTTGAGCTACCGAATCCAGGTTTAGGTCAGAACCGACAATACCTGAGAAGAGAGCCAACCCCCCTCCCCCACTGCTTTTTGAAGGATCTTACTTTTCTAGAAATTGATGAGTGTGCTTCTCCACTTTAAAACCCGTGTAGTCGGCTTAGTAGGTACATGTACAATCAAACCAATTTGGTTTCTAAAATCCGAAAATAGTATTTTTATATTTGCATCATGCAACAATATAATTAAATTTTAAATTAAATTCATTTTGAATTTGTTATATCATTAGATTCTTTGACAAACCCAACTCTTGCAACGCGACAATAACGTGGCAATAACGTGACAATAACGTGACAATAACGTGGGTTGAAACTTTTTGATTAATCTTTTGTTTTTTGTACAAAACAATTGAAACGGTACAAAAGAACTTTGAAATATACTTGCATAAGAATCGGATTAATCAGAAATATCTGTTGTTTTTTTTATTTTGCTGTGATCCGTCTCAACCATTTACAATTTAACACTAACGAATTTCTTACTTTTTGTTTATATATTTTGATTAATGAAAATTTTATTTTTTTGTTTTTAGCTATAATTTATCCGTGGAAAAAAAAAAACTTGAAGAACTATTCAACTAATATAACATTGTCATTAACAATTTTTATATTTTGTTTTATTTGCTGCACAAGCAAGCTACCGTCACTTCTTCTGTCAACTTAAACTAGGGCTGGTAATGGGTCGGGTTTGGGTTGGGTATCAGTGGACCCGGACCAAGACCCGTTTTGTATAAACGGGTTTGAGTTGGGTTATAACGAATCCAACCCAGACCCAGATCTAATTTAACAAACGAGTCTGGGTCGGGTCCGGGTCCACACCCAACCCTATCAGTTATTTTAAAAAAAAAATTGCGCATTTTTGTTTAATGTTGCTCTTAAAAGTCTTAATAGTCTTTTCACAAAACATTAAAGAGTTGGTATTGGTCTAATAAATCCAAGTATCATAAATAAATGCAGTAAATAAATGCAGTTAAAAAAGTAGGCATATGGAGCTTATATTAATATATTAAATGTATAATCTTGTTTCAATATAATTAAAATATAAATTGTTTTTTTTTTTTTAGGCGAGCCGGTTGTTAACTCATTGGAAACACACCCCTGGCTACCAATTTATTTTAGACATATTTTTGGCATCATTTTCTCAAAGTTATAATCTGCGAACATATAGCTACCATAACTATTATATTAAAAAACTATAACCCGGGGTTCTGAATTTTTAATTATGTCACAGGGTCCCAAAATATGAAAAAACTTGAAAAAATCAAAAATTAAAAGACTTAAATGGAAAATCTTCGTTTAAACAACAAGCAAAGCTGTATATTCTTAGTTTGTAAAAATGATCGTAATATATATATATATATATATATATATATATATATATATATATATATATATATATATATATATATATATATATATATATATATATATATATATATATATATATATATATATAAATATATATATATATATATATAAAACAGTAGAAATAGTAATTACAAATCTAATTACAAAAAAACTATTTCTAAATTTACTTAATTAACTTTTTATATAGACATAGATATACGCCAAATGGCGCTATTAAGGTAATCTGCGAAAAGTTTTTTTTGGAGTTTTATGCCCAAAAATGCTGAATCTTCTTTGATTTCCCTTTTTTTTAGGTATTAAAGTATAGAAAAAATAAATATATAGAACAGTTATTATACATTAAAGTTTGCATCAATACTATATTAATGTATCAATATTATATTAATGTATTTTTATCAATCTGATACGTAATAATTTTGTATATATATTTTCTTTATTTCACCTAAATTTTCTTTTTATCACGATAATAAATGTATATTTTATATGGTATTACTACTTGGAGAAGAAAAAAATAAATAAAAAAATTAAATAAAAATTGTAATTGAAGTAGAAAAGCATATAGAAAAATAGAGTTGATATTCAAATAATATTTAAAACTTATTAAGAAACTTAAACAACTTTATAAAACGTACTGTATAAAAAGTTTAGCATTATGAAAAACGTGAAAAAAAATGGTCCGTTAAAACGCGTGTTTTTTTTACGGACTATTAGTAACATTTTTGATAATGCTAAACTTTGTAAAAAACGTTTTTATAAAGTTGTTAAAGTGTATTTGTAAAAGTTCCTAAAGGTTTTAATAATATTTAAATATTCACTTTATTTTTTTTAGATGCTTTTTACTTTTTAAATTTTAAGATTTAAGTTTGGAATTATTAATTTTGTTTAAACAAAGAATAAACTTTAAAAGATATAAGTGCTTTATAAAAGTAATAAGACTATTATAGTTTTATTATTTTTATAATGCAATTAGTGACTAGAGTGTTCATTTTGTAGTCGTAAATTTATTGTTTGTTTTTTTATAACTTTTTCGCTAACAAACTAATAATAATTTGCTCCTTGAAAAGGAGCAAATTATTATTAGTTTATATATATATATATATATATATATATATATATATATATATATATATATATATATATATATATATATATATATATATATATATATATATATATATATATATATATATATATATATATATATATATATATATATATAGAGAGAGAGAGAGAGAGAGAAGTTTTAAACTTTAAACTATTAGTTTAATACATTAAAAAATGGTTACCTACTGGTATACCTAATCTATAATAAATGTATTTTACATTTTCCGAATTTTTTAACTTAAAAAAGATTTTTATTATAGAGATTTGATTAAACTTTAAACTAAAAACTTTAAAACTATATGTTTGGTATTTTTACTAAGCTATTTGGTAATATTTCTGTATTTTTTGGCTGGGAATTTGGTTAAAGAACGTTTTTTTTTTTTCATAATCCGAATCGTTGATGTAAAATAAAGATCTACGTTCTTATTTTAGCTGCCTGTTTTAAACAAAGAAATTCTCCTCTTTGAAGAACAACCAGTTCAATACCCAGTAAAACAATTGTTTCGTAAACAATTAAGATCCAAAAATTGATATAGTTTTCTTTCACCAGATAACTACTAAACCAATAGGTAGCAATGCTGAACAATATTTCTATAAGTAAAAGTCGTTTCGTGCCATTAAAAACAAAGTTTGAATTAACTAGATTCAAAAGTGCAATGAAAATATTGTAACAATAAACTAGCTCCAACAAGGTTAAGTAGAAAGGAATTACAGCATTTTCATTAAAACTACAAATAAGTCCAATAACCACAGGTTTTTTATCTTGAAGTTTTTCAAACATTAAACAGATTGTCAAAACAACGAAAACTGCATTTAAAATTAGATTGTGTCTTCTTATGGTACTTAGTAATAAACGATTATCTGATCTCTCGTTTCTCTCTTTGATTGCGTTGAGGCCGTTTTGAAAGCATTTGTAAACAATTATAAAAATACATATGAATATTATTAATTCCTATAAAAAAAAATTAATCACAGTAGAAACAAATAAATAAACAAGTTATAATTATCCATTACAGTTTGAAAAAATAAAAAACGAAAACTAATTACTAATAATAAACTATAGAAAATGAAAATTATTTACCCAATAATATAATTTGTAATCATAATGTTCGTACATTCAGATATATTTTTGAGATTTTATTACGTATATATATTTTAATTAAAACAATATTCGTATCGTATTTAAAAACGCGCGATTGTTTACACTTTTTTGTTTCAGAAAACGTTTCCTCTTCAGATATTTATTTCATAATCAAAGATTACAGATTACGAAGAATAATGCGTATACAATAAAACACAAGCAAACTCAAAATTCCGAACCATTGAGTAAAAACACTTTGAAGAAAAAAAAGTATTGTTAATTTTCAACGCTTGCTTTTATAATTGCTTATTTTTAGTTTTAAAATATCAAAGAAGTTTAAACAATAATTGAATAAAGAAATTTGCAAATAGTTTCAAAAGAAATTATAAAAAAGAAAGAAAATTTTAATAAAAAACTTTTCTTGAGAATTTTAGCCAATTATATTACTTGATGACTTTAAACAAAACTTAGGTTACCTAGAAACTGCGATAAACGGTTTAGCTTAAAATTCTATTATATTTTTGTTATTCATTTTATAGATGACTAAAAAATCTTATCTGTAAAATAAAAACTATATAAATACATTCTATTAATATAAAAAAAAAATTTTTTTTCGAAAAATTTTAAAGAAGAAAAAAAACTTATTTTTCCGCCTAAAGTAAGCGTAGAGTAACTACAAAAACTTTAATAATATAGATCATCGATTGAATTAACTAATTGAATTAAATTAATACTTGGCATAGGGTTTCTCATTTCCCGTAAATTTAGCATCCCGGGATTTTCGGTGAGTAACTTATTTATCCTAGGATTTCCCGGAACTTCCCGGCATAATTTTTTATATAATAACAAGCGGTTTCTGACACAATTTATCTTAGCACGCAAATCTATATTACTATTTAAAATAGAATATTGTTTTAAAAAACATAAACTGTCAATTGATTTGTCACTTAACCGTGAACGAATTTTCCCCATAAATAGACTCGTGGCAGAAAAAGCTCTTTCTGATTCAAATGATGTCGGCTTGATGTTGAGTGTATTCTTTCAAAACTTTCGAGTTGCCTCAAAAAGATTTGTTTTGTGAGGTTTTTTTAAATTGCTGATCTTTATTAGCGCTGCTTTTTTTACTTTTTTGACATTAAAAATAGTCGCATTCAATTTTTGTTCAAGTGTCAAAATACTTTTGCTTAATAAATTTGGAGCAACAGGTTGAGGTATTGACGATTCAGAATCTATGCTTTCATTATCACAACTCACTTCAACAATTTTATTATTTGATGAACTAGTACTAGCATCCTCTATGTACAACCTCGTATAAATTTTTTTTGCTGTTGCTTTTAATGCATGTTTGGACGGTAAGAGTAGTTTGGAGTTGATATTTGATTCCTGATTATAACTAACTGGGTTGTTTAAAAATTTTAGTAGTCCAATTAAATTGGCATTTCTGCGTTCTTAAATTTTCTGCTGCACAGATTGAAGCAGTTTATTTTTATTTTTTTTATTTGTTATTTTAGGTGCCCCAAGAAGCCCTAACGCTCTTGTCACAGAGCACCGCGGAAGTGCATTTAACATGAAAGTTCACGCGTCCTTCCTTACCGTGACGCGTAATATGTCAAAGCTCGTTTCGAACCTGGATCTCCTACTTATAAAGCAAGCGCTCTAACAACTGCGCCACGGCCGCACAAATCAACTATAAAATTTTTTTTCTCCGCCAAATCGCCTAAGATGACTATCATTACACCTTCTGCGTCAAGTAGAGTAGCATTACTTCTACCAAGTTTTTCTATTCCAATTTTTATCGGTTGCAGAGAAACTGTTATGTCGTTCATAATTGCGTATTCATCTTTGGAGATATTCAGAACTTCTTTTAAATCGATCATTGCTTTTAGTATACATGTTTTTACTTAAAAGAATCTTCCTAGCATTGCAACAAGACTATTCCACCTCGTTTTGACATCTACTATCAGCTTAACTTCTTTATGAAACATAGATTTTACGTACATTTGTAAAACTTCATTTTTAGGAGGTGATTTGCAGAACATTCGAACCACTTTTCGAACCTGCTGAATTGTTAAGATTATATTTACGTATTTTGTAAATCATCAATAAACGTAACGCCTGTTGAGCTGTATAACTCATCATTACAGTCAAATACATCATCTAACTCATCGTAATCACTCAAATTTTCATCGGAATCTTGAAACTGCGATTCAAATTCAATATATTTTGTTGAAGAGTCTGACTTTTTATAAAGAGCATCACATACTGCCAAATAAAGTCCGGGGGCATAACACAGCTGATCTTCAAAACCACTTAGCCGTCCAAATTTTTTAATTGATTAACTGAAATCTGACAGTTTATTTTTAACTAGATCAACAATTTTTTCTGCAGGAAGTGATCCAGCTATCGGAATCATTCCCAGGATCCAAAACTTTGTTGATAAGTGTAAATTAGAAGTTTAAAAATCAAACTTACTATTTTCGTTGCAAGAAACCTTTTTTATTTTTTACTCATATTTTATAATAACGAGAAAAAAAAACATCGCAATCCATTCCTTGAGTTAGATAGTTTAAGATTTTCATTCATTCCTTGAATTAGATAGTTTAAGTTTTAATAACATTTCTTGTTGTGCTAGGTTTTAAAATAAGGTATGAACACATAAAACACAACTAAATGCAATAATATTTTTCTTATTTTTAGTCGAATTAGTTCAAACAGTTATAACATGTAAAATTAAAAAAAATTATATTCCGGGATATAAGAGTGATATCCCGGGAAATCCCCCTGCCCCGAGATCCCGGGATCTCGTTCGAGAAACCCTAATTTGGCATTAAGAAAACCAAGTTAAATTAGTTAAAAACAAAATGGAAATTAATAAATACTAATAACATTAATTTTGTTTTTAGATTAGCTTGTGATCATGAATCAGTTCATATTTAATTAAACCGTTTCGTAAACTTAGACAATGTAAATATAAATACATACATACATACATACATACATACATACATACATACATACATACATACATACATACATACATACATACATACATATATATATATATATATATATATATATACATATATATATATATATATATATATATATATATATATATATATATATATATATATATATATATATATATATATATATTTTTTTTTTTTAAGCAAAGAGTTTTGTCATATATTAAAATTTACAATGAAATAAATCGTGTTAATAAATAAGAGAATTGGAGCAAGCAGAAGACATAAATTGTCTTATCATCACGCCCCATCATAAAATTTACATTAAAGAATCGTCAGTTAATATAAAAAATGAAGAGTAGCTAAGTACATAACAAAAATTTTAAATAGGTTAGTTACAATATAACTAATAACTTAATATAAATATTAGTGTTGAAATATAACGCATTATATCAAAGATTAACAATAATTTAAAAGTATTAAAGTTTTTTAACAAAAAAATAAATTAGATTAAAATTGCAACAAAAGAGAAGTAGTGTCAATAACTATATTTTTAGATAATTTATGTTATTTGTGTATTATTTTTAAAAGAGATATTTTAAATCAAAGTCTTTTTGTAATAAGAGATTCTTAGATTCTTTTCTGAATTTTTCCAAAGAGATGTGTTGAACATTATTATTTTTTGTGATAAATTTTGAAAAATGTTTCCATAGAAACGGTCCGCGGTATTGTAATTTGTAATTAGTTTTTGGAACAATAAAGTTATTAATTGAAAATTTAGTAGGATACTTGTGCGAGATTTCACTAAAATAAGACTGAAATACAATAGGAGAGAGTTCATGTTTAGTTTTTAACATGAATTGTAGAACTTGGAGTATATTAAGTTTATAGACACTTAGGGCACCGAGCTTTTTTAAAAGAGGCTCACATTGAAAAGTTCTGTGGGCACCAAATGTAATCCTGCATGCATGTTTTTGCTTAAGTTTTTTCAACTTACCATAGTTAGTACTACCTCATATTGCAGTATAAGATAAAACTATAAATAAATGAAAAGTATATTTTTTTTTAGAGAAGAGGTGTTAAGACATGGTTTAGTTTTATATAATATATAAATATTTCTTGATATTTTATTTTCTATATATTTTATATGTGATTTCCATGACAAATTTTCATCTATTATTACTCCTAGAAAACTAACGATTGGTTCCCTTTTAATAAATGTTTTATTGATTAGGAGATTTGGTAATTTTAGAGGAACATCATCACCTTTATATAAATACATACATACATATATAAATACATACATACATACATATATAAATACATACATACATATATAAATACATACGTACATATATAAATACATACATACATATATAAATACATACATAAATATATAAATACATACATACATACATACATGCATACATACATACATACATACATACATACATACATACATATATATATATATATATATATATATATATATATATATACATATATATATATATATATATATATATATATATATATATATATATATATATATATATATATATATATATATATATATATATATATATATATATATATATATATATATATATATATATGTATATATATGTATATATATGTATATATATATATATATATATATATATATATATATATATATATATCATATATATATATATATATATATATATATATATATATATATATATATATATATATATATATATATATATATATATATATTTATGTATGTATATATATAATAGTGGAGAGAAGTGGGTCACAAAAATTTTTTTTCAGGGTAATTGCAATATCTTTTTTAGTTTTTTTTTGTTTTGTTTTAGAGGAGTCCTGCTAATAGGGTAAAGTTGGAAAAATATGAGTTAAGTGGGACAAGTGAGCAGGAGAAGCGGCACATTTTTTGTTTGGGGGGGGGGGGGTCGATGCATCAATGCGTTTAATATTAGTACTGTATTTACCAAATTTAGCAAGAATACCAAAATGAGGTCTGCGCTTCTTATGAAAGTGATGATTTATAGCAACAGCCTGTTTATGGAAGTTAGAGATTTTTCATTAGTGCTACGTACACTATATTTGGCATGAGTGTTTATATGATGTCTTTGCATCTTTTAAAAGAGATTTTTTATATTTGGTTACAATGGTTACTTAATTTTG